AACCTTACGGATTCTGGGATCCTAGGAAGTGCCACCTGTGGCGAGGGGCCCCRGTGCCGTGGGGCAGCCGGCTCGTGCAGCACCCTGAGTTCCATGCAACCCCTAACCCCTGCCCTTCTCTTGCAGATGGGCCTAGACCTGCTCAATTTTGTACCACGCAACACGACCACCTCTGGGACGTGCAGCAACACGTCTGCCCTGCTGATGTTGACTTTTCAGAAAACAAGACTTATTTTCCACTTTGCACTGGTAAGAGAAAGCCTGCAGGGTCTGCAGTGCTTTTGATGGGGAGAAGTTAATTGGGCCAAGTCCGAGAGCAAGAGATTTASCTACAGGAAGAGGGAATCATCTCTTTGCTTTAATACTGGCATGTAAGGGTTTTAACATGTGAGTAACTGGAAGGAAAATATATGTATCTTCAYAAACGTTGTCTGCAAAGGGAATTTCTGATGAGTCAAAGGAAATTACTTACAGGATTGCATTGCTCACTCTTCACAGCTTTTTATGCAGGCTTTATGTTTTATGTGAGCCAATCTGCCATAGCAGAATGTAGCCCATGACACAGGCGTCTCGTCTCGTGGCAGAACTGAGGGATTGGGTTTAAATTCTCTTTGATCCCAGTTTCCGAGGGCCCGGCGCTGGTGCAGCACTAGCAGCCTGGCACTGCCAAGCACCGATGCCAGGGAGTTCCTGGCTGTGTTTAATACACATCGGAGCAGACAGGATCACCCCCCTGTGCCACCGTGAGGGGACTTTGTGCATCTGTCACCCTGGGCTGCGGCAGCGCCAGCACCGCAGCATCCAGCCCCCCGAGACCTGTCCTGCCCCCCAACACTCACCTGGGCCAGGAGGTCGGGTCTGACCGTGGCCGTCGCTGCTTCCCCTGCCCCRTAACCTTCTCTGGAGCAGCGGGAGGAGAGAAGCTCCAAGGCTGGAGCTGCTGTCTCGGAAGGTCACTGGGCTGCTCTGTGGGCTGCTGCCGTTTCAGTTAAGGACTGTGCTTGGAAAGCCCTTCTGTAACCGCACGCAGAATTGAGCTCTCCTCTTAGCAGCTCCTGTTGTACATCAGTTTTGCTGAATGACAACTCTTGGTCTGTCTTTTAAAGAATGCAAGTGCTGAAAAGTTCTTCCTGCAAGGTGTGAATGTGAGCACGATTCTGCCTTCGGAAGCGAAAGGTAAGGAACCTGCAGCATCTCGCTGTGGAAGACTATGAAAATATGCTTAGAAATATTGCCTGCCTTACAGGGCATGAGTGGTCTTAAAATCAAAGCCCTGTGAGCTTGCACCTGTGCCTCGGGGTTCTCTGATCAGACTTTGCTTTGCACAGAGCCGGAGTTCGAAGCGTCCAACAACAGCATGAGCGAGCTGAGAGCTTCCGTGGGGAACTCCTACAGGTGCAGCGCCGAGGAGAACCTCCAGGTCTCGGACACGGCCTTTCTCAACGTCTTCAATGTCCAGATACAGGTTTTCAAGATTGATGGAGACAAATTTGGGGCAGGTAAGAGGTCTAGCCCTGTGAAATGTACCAAAGATTTGCAACTTATGCTTTGATAGTAGCATAAAATATTTTAATCACAATTTCACTGAATTCTACAAAGGCAGCTCTTCGGAGCTGTGCTCTGCCTCCACACGCCCTRTACAGGTGGTGCAGGAGCTGGTAACGTGTTGGAGGGGAAGCTCCTGAAGAATATGAAAAGCTTGGAATCGAGCAGCACTTCCTAGTCTAGGGAAGCGTTAAAGATGACGGGCATTAATTTTTTTCTCCCAGTTTTCCCGGGCAGTTATATGGAGGGGCAAGGATGTGGGAACCCTCCAGCTGCTTTGGTTTGCACACTCCTTTGCAGCTGCCGTCAAGGGCAGCAGGACCAAGGGAGGGAGGTGCTGGGATGCACAAACCRCAGCTCTGTGCAGGGCAGCACCACAGACACGTGAAGGAAACGGTGAGAACTCTCTGCATTGCACATGCAACAAGTAACACTGGAAAGACTTGCTCCGGAATGACCACAGCTACCAAATTCCACTTCCTTTTTGCTGCTGGCTAAGCCAAGCTGGAAGTTCAACTCAAGCTGATTTTATCTATGTGCTTAGGGTGGAAACTTGAGCTATGCCCATCTGCGGGTGGATTAGTGCCTAATGTGTCCTTTTTTATTGTCTCTTTTCAGTGGAGGAATGCCAACTGGATGAAAACAACATGCTGATCCCAATAATAGTTGGTGCAGCCCTTGCTGGCCTTGTTCTCATTGTCCTGATTGCTTACTTGATTGGTAGGAAGAGGAGCCACGCTGGATATCAGACAATTTAATGACTTGCACTCAGATCCAGTGTAGATATAAAAAAAAAAAAAAAAAAAAGCAGTTGCAAGAAGCAAAAAAAAAAAAAAAGTAGTAACATTTTCCCTGAGCTAAGATTGTTTTAAGGAAACACCTTTTCTTGCAAATTGCTTCTTCTCAAAGTCTGCTTTATTAAATGTGAAATCATCTTGCAGCATTTAACTATGCACAAAAATAACTGAAAATTCTGGTATTTAATTTTGCTAACTAGTTTAAATATTTACCCACTTAGAACCAAGCTCCAAGTTTTTAAGGGTGCTTTYTTGGAAGTGGCCTGAGGTGATGTCAGCTGCAGGTTCCAGCCAGGGCTGTTGCTAACACACATTGACTCAACTTCAGAACTCTTTAACAAAGGGAAAAACAGCGTTCTCGGTGCTGCTGCCATCCAGCGATGACTTTAATTAGACTGGTAACATATTTAAAGACAACTAGTAACAACTGACAACATTGAACTCTGCAATCTCGACTCCACCTTGTCTCTTAGGTGTGTATTTTTTACTAAGCTTTAAACACAGAGCCTGGCATATGCAGGGTGGGAACAGGGCAATACTCGAACCTTATAGGAACTCTTGATGATTGGACAACTCCCTTGTTTGATATTTTTGATGCTCTGCCAGCTTGGTAGGAGCTGGTACTTTTTTAAAATGGGTGTTATTTTTATTTACRTTTTTTTTGTAAAGTGATTTCAGTCTCTTCTGTTGGAAGGTCCAGAGAGATCCTGTTACTGCACACGTGTACAATATAGATCTCAATCTGCTGATTCTCTTGCTTCAAACTTGGCTGGGGGTTGTACACTTTAAGGATCAGTTCTTATGTATGCATTGCCTGTAACAATGCTAATAAAGACACTTTTTTTTTTTCTGTATGTCTTAATATGTCTGCTCATTCTTTTAACAAAGACCTGACTCTTTGGTGAGTGCTAACGTCCTGTTTTGTCCCTAGTTCTGCAGCTTCAGCTAGTCCTTAGCCTGAGCTTATGTTAAACTAGCGCTTCACTCTTCTCCCGGGGCAACTCAAGGGGTGAAGCTAATGTGTGTGTCTCCCCAAAACGGGCTTGTAGGTGTTACAGTTTGGGGAAGGGAATGTTCATTTTTGTACTTTCTGCCTATAAAAAGGTAAAGCTGCTTCYCTGTCAGTAACTGGAAGTGTAACTGTAGCTGTCACTGAACTGCAGCCAGCTGAGGAACATCAGCATTGGCCTGTCCCATTGAGCGGCGCGTTCCGGGAGCGCTGGGAGCTGCTCCAGGGACTGTGGGACTCGGGTCCTGGCCCCAAAGCAGAACCYGCCCGCGCTGCCCCAGAGAGGGCCCCATGGGGAGAGTCACCAGGGAGGGCAGCAGAGCCCCACGGGCTGCCCTAGGGCCGGGCACTGCCCAGTGCCTTCCCGGCAGGAGCGACGGCAGCCCCTTTTGTGCTGGTGCACCAAGTCCCCCTGCCTGGCAGGGCTGCATCTCCTAAAAATTCAGTATTTGAGGAAGAAGTGCTGTTATTTAGTGTCAAGCCTGGCCTAGCCCAGTACTATATGGAGGAAGACCTAGTGTTACTTTAAAAGCCATTTTCACCACTGCTTAGGGTAAAAACAAGCAGCCTGTGATAACTATGCAGCCCTGTGTGCTGGGATGGGCTCGGGCTCAGCTGTGCATCCCCTTCTAATCCCGTCTCCTTCTGGAACATGGGGATGGAGAGCTGTCTAGAAACCCTGGCCCTGGACTTATGTGGGCTCCAAAGCCACCCCGGGGGAGCTGTGCTTGAGAAACACTTCTATTCTCCATGCACCTTTGACCATGTGCAAGTTACTAACCTGTTGTCTTCACCAGAGAGACTGCATCCTCCCAGCACCTGGGAAAAATCCAGCCTTCCCCACGTGGAATGGAAGAGACTGCTGTGCCTAAAGGTGAGCTGCCCTGGGAGGGGAAGGGCTGGGGCAGAGCCTGTCGAGGAGGGCGGTAGCTGAGACGTCGCGCAGTGCTCCCAGTTAACGTGGGAGCCTGTGCGGGCCGAGAGCTGCTGGGCAGCAGCCCTGCCCGGCAGGAGCCTCCGGCCGCGAGAGGGCACGAGCCGGGGAGCCGGCAGCGCCTCTCGGGACGCAGCTTTGCCAGGATGAGACTTGCTGGGATGCAGCTTTGCCAGGATGGCGCTTGCCAGGACGGGGCTTGCCGGGATGGAGCTTTGCATCCTGACTCCTGGTAGGGGGCGGCCTTTCCAGGGCGGCTCGATGGCGAGTGCAACCTCAACTAGAAACACAGCATCTCCACAACACCGCTCTCCAGCACGGTAGGAAGCACTGCTTCTAGATTTGGGTCAAACAACTGCTTAAGTTGTGATGATCTCAGAGCTACAGAGCTGGCAAACCTTAAACAACCTTAAAAATATGAGGTGTGAGCACAGAAATGTCGGCTTTGCTTCCCTGCACCTTTACCTGTTGCCACTGCAAGCTGGATGGAGTTAAGCACCACTAAAGAAAGATAACGGTCAGCTGGGCAAGTGCTTGACCTGACCTTCTCCAGAGTGAGGGAGCTCCCTCCAGGACAACAGTGGGGAGGAAAAAAAAGAAGGAAACGCTTGGATTCCAGCCGAGTAGTGACAGTCACATCCAGAGACTGGTACTGTAGTTCACCACGGCCCAGGATTAGGATCAGGTATTTCCCTTTCAACCCCAAGAAAACAGCTTTTGACAAATTAAATTATTTATTTTGTACAAATGATATAGGCGTCACAGTTAATACAGGAGGAAGGATATGTAATTCCATACACCTGTTTTCTCTAGCATTGCAAAATGCCCTGAAGAGACAAGGACAGGGACTATTTTTAGAAGGAGTATCCTGACACCAGTCACATTCTACTCGGAAAACACTTTTTAATCCAAGAAAAAGACACAAAATAAACCACCAGTTTCCAGTAGCAAGTCTGACATACAGTACAAACTTAACAACACTTAAAAGGCAGGGGAAAAAAAGAATTGGTCACATGTCAGTCAACTCACGGAAAGCTTCAAGTGTGCTTGTAGTCAGTGCAAGGAGAGGAATGTGTCAACGTGTCCTTAGAGCCTGGTGAGTTATCCCTGAGCAAGCAGCCTCTCACCGCAGCTCTCCCGGAGCCTGCTGATTGTGGCCATGGACAAGCTGCCCGGCTCCGTGAATATTTTCTGTGGAAGAGGAGAGGCGTCAGGCACAACGAGGGCTTCGGATGGGAGGCCAAATCCTGCCCCAGGTCTCCAAAGGCCACCAGCAGAACAGGCAGTCCCAGCATTAACAGCTGCACTGAGCAGCAACCGCTGCTCTTCACCTCGCTCCGTGGCTACAGGGCAGAGCAGCAGCTCCCAACCCCTGCCCGCTCTTACCTTACACTCTGCAAAAGCTGGTTTCCAGCCCAAGGGCTCAGCTAAGCTCACTTAAGAGCAGGTTTTAGCAAACCTAGCATGTAAAGTGGTAACTAACTAAACAGAGGGGACAAAACAGGGAAAAATACACATGCAAGRATGAGCAACCGTAGTGGCCTCTGAACAGGTTCTCGCAGGGTAGTTCCTGTTTCTTCCGAGTGGAGRCAAGAAGTGGCTCTTCCCTTCTTGTTCCTTGACTAAACCTAATGTGTCACCTTTGGTTACGGTGAATATCTATCRGTGCAAGTTTAAAACCCACTTTGTGCTTAGTCTGCACTGATGTGTTACAATTCACCCGAAAAGGGCGCAGAACCCAGGCTTTACTGAAAGCACTCCCTGAAGTTACCTTCTTGTCAGGCAGGCTACTCAAAACTGGTGAAAACAGCAGGATCTTCCTTCCTCATATGACAGATAATATGACTGGATTGCTATAGAGGGAGTTGGATAATCATCCTTTAAAATACCTAAGAAACTCCTTTTTTTTTTTAATAGAGTTTCTCAGTTTCTAATGTAAGAAAGATTTGTCATCCTTTCAGTGATTCCAGCAGTTGTTTCTCAAATCTGTACTCAGTTTTGATGGAACAAGGCATTTCCGTCTTGCTTTTAATTCACAATGATGAAAAGCTGCGGGGAAGTTACCTGCATGAAAGTGTGACACTCCGTTACAAACGTCCCCTTGGTGATCTCCTTAAATTTATCACAAATGTCAGGGAAATTCGTGGCTTCCAGAATAAAAGCTTGGTGCTGCTTAATCAACGTCAAGGCCACGCGGAAGAGAATCTTTGACCCCTCATAGAATAAACAGTCCCAAATGCGGAGCACAGTCTGCAAGAGAAGAGAGAGTTCAGAGGGCAGCTCTCAACRTGCACTTGTGAATTATTACGTTCAGGTGTTACAAATTAGTGATCACACATGTAGAYGAGAACAGCTTTATCGTGTGTCACCTCGACAGGGAGGATGTCGATGAACAAGCAGATGAACCAGCGCGACACCACCAGGGTCCACATGACTCCGTGCCTCTCCAGGAGCTCCGCCACCGCGGGAACCTTCATCTTCACGAGCTCTCCGAGAACCTCCTGGTCAGTCTTCAGGCCRGTCATCGCGGGGCTGTAATAATCTGGGAGAGAGGAACCCCACACTGCAATAAACAGGCAGCATTTTCCACAAAAGTGAGAAAGGCCTGGACGCCTGAACAGATAAAGTCATTGGAAGCAGATGAATCCCAAGCACCATGGAAGTAAATTAATCTAGAAAAAACTCTGATCGAGGCTGATCCCTTGAATCAAAATATTACATAGCTCATGACTACCAAACTACCTTTCGAACTTTTTAACGGTTCTTTCCTCCTTAATTAAAGATAACCTAGGTAGCCTTAAAGATAAAATTATGACCATCCTGAGGAGTTCAGTGCACACAAACCTGTCGGAATTTATCCGAGAGTTATTCACAGAAATGAGACCTCCACCTGCCACGATCCACAGCTGGGGAGTTAGGGAATGCAGGGCTTGACGTCCACAGAACCACTGAAGCCGGAGCTGAGACTCCAGTGCTGGGAAGCCAGTCATGGGGGGGTCATTAGTGCTCTGCTGACCCGAATGAGTAACGTGATTTACTGAAAGAAATACCCGACCACACGAGCACCTTTCCCTGCCTCCCCTCCTCCTCCTCTGACCCGGCCGCGCTGCAGATCTGGCTGCTCTGGGCTGGGCTCTGCCAAGGCTCCCAAACACACAGCGCCGACACACGAAGCAATCAGAAAGAGCAMAGTCTCGGCTCTGAAATGATTTTAAAACCCTCCCTGTGTCACGGGGGTCTCAGAAGACGTCCAAGGCTTGCCGTACATCGCAGTTTAATCCTTGCAGTGAAGCCAGCAGAGCAGCTCWACACTCCTCTGCGTGCTGTGTTGCAGAGGGGACTGCAGCCCCTTTAGCCATCCCGTTCCCGGGGAACGGCTCCCGCAGTTCCCGGAGTGGCGGCTCCCGGATCAGCGGAGCGGGAACGTGCGGCCCGGAGCCCGGGCAAGCAGCCTGAGGACCTTCTGCCAACGCCGAGAGCCGGGCAGAGCCCCCAGAGGCATCCCGGGAGGCACGGGCCGGTTCGCAGTGGGAAACAAGCTGCGTTAAGCAACTGGCAGCTGAGTCATTTTTAATACATAATTTTATGTATTATGCATATACTGTACTTAAAGACATGCATCCAATTATGTAAGTGCAATCCCTGTCCGCTGCTTTGCCCCCTCAACACCCCACGGAAACACAGAGCAGCTACGGCGCTGTGGGGCCTCGGGGCAGTCTCCCCTCCCAGCCTGTCACGCTCACCCGCTGAGAAAGGAACCAACTAGGAAGCAAAGGGGGCCCTCGGGATCCGGCAGCTCCTGCCGTGGGTGCGACGACCACAGGAGGCTCTGGAGGCGAGGAGCAGACGGGAAGGAGCAGCAGCCCCGAGCACCAGCGCGYGCAACGTCCCCGCTCACCCCGGCACCGAGCCCGAAACCCGGCCCGGGACCTGGGAAGAGGTGCTTGGTTTTCAAACGCATTTCCGTGTCTCCGTGTCACGGCAGCCGGCCCCTCTCTGAGCCGGCCCCTGCCACATCCAGGGCTGAGATATAACTGCTTGGGCTCCCGAGCCCTGATGGGATTTGCAGGAAATACGGGATAAAGGCTTTAAGGACTGCYCGACCTTGTTCTCACTTACAAACAGATTAAGGGCTTCCAAAAATAAAAAGTTTAAGAGGCCATACTCTTACGGCCCTAAATTACCTCGCAAGCCAGAGCTGCAGAAGTTAAAGAAGCCTCCGAGCCTGTTGTGCATATGCCAGGATTAAATATAAATACTCCTACGGGCAGGCGGATGATCTGAATTCTCAGTATTGCAGAAACACAGGCAAGACCTTCGCTCTGCAGCAGCCCCCAGCGTTTCTGACTGTGATTTTAAGAGCCTGTATGGGCTGCTGCCTATCTGGGACAAAGCGAGTGACAGATCTCCCAAGCCTGATGTATGTCAGCAAACCAAAAGGGGCTGGGCTACTTTTCCTCCCAGTCAGAGGTTATTTGCAGTGCTCTGTTCACAGCAACACCGCGTTCACAGCACTCRTGGCAGCCACGGGTGCCAGAGGCTGCATTTGCTGCAGGGGGTCGGTGCCAGCCCCAGAGCACGGGTGGGAGCCGGGCGCTCCTCACCCTGCGCCCGGCACCGGGCGGGAGCGCCCCTTTCCATTCCGTTGGGGTTTTCTGCTCTCTTCCCCGGATAAAGAAAGCAGAAATTGTACATGCAATTTACACCAGAGAGCAATATACACCAGCATGCTYGAAACCAGCTCCTCGCTGTGGGTGCACACGGCTTTCTGCAGGTAGACCTTACTGGAATCCAGAACAACAACAACAAATATATATTATATATATATATTAAAATACATATACAAGGAACACAGCAGGGCTGGATGCTGAAAAGTTAAAGCAGCGGCTGCCGTGACCAGACATGGGCTGCGTTCATGAAAAGCAACGGGTTCCACCCTTTATGTCCAAGCAGAAGCAGGTCCCACCACCTACTCTTGCGGCAAAACCCCGTGCCGAATCCTTTGCCCTAAAAACCTACCTGTCTGCATGTTACTGAACAAGGGTGTGTTTTTTTGATAACCTTGGCAGCACAAAGCCTTCCGTTCCAGASATGCCCAGCCCCTGAGCGCAGTTCCGAGCCGCACGCAGCAGGCCTGGCGGGAGTTTCCCCAGTTTGGTTGTGCTGGAAGCGAGGCCGGGTTTCGGGAGCGGAGCCTTTGCACCTTCACAGAGCTCAAACCCCACTCGCCTCTTCCTGTGCTATTTTTTAGCCCCCTTCTCTCCTCAGGGGTGACTCTGAGCCCCCTTTGCCCAGGAAGGCAGAGCAGCGTTGGCTCCTCYGCACGAGCAGAGCAGAAAGGTGCCACAGGTCTTGCAAGAACCTCCATCGTGAACCCGACGGAAGAGCTGGCCAGCATCTGCTGGGCAGGAAAGCAGAAAATCCCAGCAGGAAAAGCGGAAAGCCCAGAGCACCGATGGCTCTTCTCACAGGATCTGCCCAAAGCGACCGCTGCAGGTATCCCGGCCGAGGAGATGCCCGGCTGACACGTGGCTAAACAGCAGGCTCAGCTCCTGCGCTGCTGTTTTTAAAGCCCAGGTTTCTCATACTCCAGGGAACACAGCAAAATGCAAAACCGGCCCAAGCCATAATTCCTTTTCCTTTATCAAGTCAAGCCGACCCTCTGTTTCTGTTCTCAGGTACCGAACTTGAACTAGAGCCACCACTGGAACCAAAGCGCGGCTCCCTACTCCATCTGCACTGCCCCGAAGGGACGGGGATTCACTAATAAACACAGAAAGTTGCCCCAATTGCTTTTGTTATGAAGACAAAACTTCTTTCAGGAATTTGCAATCCTAATGACCGTTTCAGCTGAATTAGGATAACCTGATACTCCCATACGGGAGTAGGACGAAAGACTATTTTATCAATCCACTGACAAAATAAATGGCATCATTGATGACCRAGAAAAACATGCCCAACACCTCAGRACGAAATAAAGCACTCGCACCAGCTCACACTTACAAGGAAGCCCACAGCACGTCGTTTCTGCAGCTCCTCACAAGAAGGCTTCAGTCAGGCCACGGCACCTTCCCAGCCATCACTTCAAAGCCACGGTCAGGAGCAAGAAGCTCCAAGCCACAAGCTGAACAGACAGGGACCATTCCAGCCCAGCACCTGGAGAAGGACACCTGCCTTCCCAGGAAAGGGAAGGCAATCCCCAATCCTCTGACGTCAAGCTTGAGGAAGCTGACCGGAGAATTTCATCTTGAAGCAAAAACGTCTTCRATTCTAGGAGGCATGATGAGCCTTTCTACCTGCCATAAACTGTAAACTTGGTGAATTGTTCAAGTCTTCTAAATAAATAACTACGTAAATAAATAAATAAATATAAATAGTATAAACTAACCAGTGCAGGTCCTCCACAAACCTGGACTTCCCAAAATCTCTCTCGCCCTAAACTGACAGTGATTTCTGATACATTTTGGAAGGCAAAATTTCCCCCTGGACTGCACATAACATGAAGAAAGTGATTTCCTTTACTCCAAACCCACATATCCTTCCATGAGCACACGCTTTACGTAGCCAGCTATGTACATGCATCACACTACCACTTACTTTGAAATGACTTCAAAGCCTCCTGTCAGCACTTCTTCATAGCATGTCATATTAAACAAAAATAAAATACTTCGATATGCAGTAGAGCAAAATAAACAGGTTTGCAGAATCTTAAAACAAAAATGTGATGTAAAAAGATTATGCAGGTGTTAGCTTTGGAAAAGCCCGTGCAATGCTTCGATATCCAATCYACGGAAGGAGGGAACATGTCACTGCTGTGTCTGACACCAGCAAAACTGAGGTCAGACAAATGCATTCCATCCTGACACTTGCACTTAAGGTAAGAAGCTGGAAACCTGGAAAGGAGGTGAAGGAATAAGTTGCAAGCAGCTCTTGAAACACTGAGCTCTGCAAGGAACTTTTCTATCTGCTTAAGTTATCCAAGGAAAATAAGAAGGAAACTTGAGCCCTTCGAGAGAAATCACCCTTAGGGAAGTCCTTATGGGCTTTCCAGCCCAGGAAAGACAGGCTTAGAAAGAAGCAATTGCCACGAGTCAGAACTAGAAAAATTCCAGTAAAAAGTATGTGAAACCAGCTCTCCTCCAGACCGAGTCCTTGCGGGCTCTTCCCACAGATACTCCCTAGCCAAAGGGCTCTGCTGGAGAGGCAACGGGGGGAGATCCACCAGGCCGCTGCCCAGCTCCACAGGCTGCTCGCACAGCACRTCCAACGGCCCATCCACGGTTGATTCCCGAGCTTTGGCATTTAACACCGYGACTGCTTTGAGCGTATGATGAAATTCTCTAGGAAGCTCCAAGGCAAACTACGGAACCGGGGACTAAGATACAAATCAAACGGGTGCTACGATTTAAATTGAAATTGAGTATTCCTCAGCGCTGTTAAAAGGGTTTGGTTCTTTCTGGAGGATAGCCAAAATCTAGCAATATTCCACACCAGATTAAGGCCAAGAATGTGTCTGTTCTTGTCTTATGCAAGACAAGGCTG